GCAGCCCATGGCACTTTCAATATTCTCCTCCAATACCATAACTCAAAAGCATCAATTCTTCTATCTAAAAGATACATAGTGTCAAATCAGACATCTATTTGAAAAGTCAGGTCCTGATTATTCAAAAGAAAAGCATTTAAAATAAAAAGATTTCAAAAAATTGAAAGTTTATAGGGAAAGATATTTCAAGCAAATACAATTTTAAAAAATCAAGCACTATTAAATTAATACAGACAAGGGTTTAAAGAGAAAAAGCATTATACGATATAGACATAGTATGACAATGATAAAATGGTGCATTTCACTAGTAAGATCAAAAAATTCTAAATGTGACCATGCTTAAAAAAATTCATAAAATATATGCTATAAAAAGTAGGATATAGGAAGAAATTGATAAGTCTACCATCAGAGATTTTAGCAGTTTTCTGTATCCTTGATTGTTGAAACAACAAAAACTATTATCCTGATAGATGTTAACTATGGCTTATGGTATTTGTCTGTATTACTATTCCTTAGGGTTTCTGAGTCTGTCTTTCTTCCCAAGAGCCTTTGGTGGATTTGTACTGCCTACTTTGTGGTTAGCAACTCAATGCTTAACCAACTGTATCAACCATGGCTCCTTAACTATCAACTGATGACCTTCTTATTGTTCTCCCTTATTTATTAAAAATTTTTGTCTTAGTCATCAAATGCTACTATGACAGAAATGCCACAATTAGATGCCTTTGAAAAACAGAAATCATTGTTTCACTGTTTGTTTTTGCTCTTAGGTGGTTCAAACTCAATGTAATCCTGCATAGGATTTCCAAGGCTGTAAGTCTTTAGAGGTGCTGAAAGCTTCATCTTTGAGAAGCAGCTAGTGGGTTTGAACTGCTATCCTTGTAGTTAGCAGCCCAGTACTTATCCTAAAGTGCCACAGGGGTCCCCTTACAGTTTGTTGTTATTAAGTGACATTGAGTCAGTTACCTCTCATAGCCACTCTGTATAGGGTTTCCAAGGAGCAACTGGTGGGTTTGAACCACCATCTGGGTGGCTAGCAGTTCAGTGCTTATCTTACAGTGCTAGGCTAGAAATGTGAATTCAAGGTGCCAAATTTTGGGATTGACTTTCTGTAGGCTCTGAACATTCTTCAGAGCCTCTACTCCTGGGCAGTCTTTATGTGACTTGGCCATCTCCATTCCACATGGTTTTTTGTTTTGTTTTGTTTTTTTAAGGTTTTTATTATTGATTGAGTGAACGTTTACAGGACATATCATCAATTTACATCCAACAAATCATACACCTTGCTTCATTACCATAATTATAATCCCCTCCATGTACCATCAGTTAACAGTATTTCTCTCTATCCACTTTGTTGTTGTTGTTGTTGTTGTTGTTATGTGCCGTGGAGTCGGTTCTGACTCATAGCGACCCTGTACAGAGTTTCCGAGGCTGTAAATCTTTATGGGAACAGAAAGCCTCATCTTTCTCCCGCAGAACAGCTGGTAGTTTCGAAGCTATGACCTTGCGTTTCACAGCCTGATTCGTAACCATTACACTACCAGAGATCCAATTTAGCTTTTTAAAAAAAAAACAATAAACCACTCAGGTATATATAATAATTTACATCTCCAAAGGGCACATTCTGCAAGTCTGTCTCCTGGCCACAAGCTCTTAGTCCTTCTCTTCTTAGTCCATAAATCTAGAGTCTTCAGTCACTGCCCCTCTCCATGCCCCCATCTCTGCCTCCATCTCTGGTGCTGCTGCTTCTCTGGATAAGGTCCTGCTTTCTGCTTGTGCGCTTCTTTCTTGATGGTCCTAGGGTCCTTTGTTTCTGGACTGTAAGATTAACCACTCCCCTATTTTTGTTACAAAACTCATATCTTTACAGTTGTGACAGTCACGATTAGTCATGATGACAATTATTCACTATTAAACCTTACAAATCTTATCCCCATCTCTTTTCACCAGACTCATCTAGACAAGATGACAGCTATTCAGTGAGGACTCTTTTTTTTCCACCCCATACTCTTAAACTAAACTCCCTCTTGAAACCTTGTAAGCAAGTAACTTCGTGCCTTTATTGCCCCCTCATTTTGGGTAGCCA